AACAATCAAGAAAACCCCTACCTGGGCGCTTATCTTATTTTAAAACCCGGCTCTCAGGTGCCATCCCAAAGGAGGCGGAAAGTTAAGAGCACCTGAGTCGGTAAGACGCCTGAAACTGGGCTTTTACAACTCGCATCATTCTCTGCGCGGCGCCCCGGCACTTTGAAAGGTGGTAAATGAAACCCTGCTCCTCACTGCGTTTCCGGGCCCCCAAACAGATCGTCACATTTGGCAGAACAGCAAGTACCTGAATAAATGATGATTACCTGCCGTTCACGCAGGGATAGACTTGTACCTGGTGCTTCACAGATGGCAAAACTTAACAAAACAAAGGAGAGATAAAATAAACAAATGGACTGGGAAGGCCCTACGGAGGGGCTGTGGCAGTCTCGCAGGAAAACTCCCGAGAAACTGGGACAGTGAGCCAAGGGAAAGGACGTTCCAGGAGCACCGTCCGAGGGGTCCGGGGTCCGAGGAGCCGTCCCAAACCGTCCCCAGGAGCCGCTGCTCATACCACGTTCCTTCAGAAGCTCCCGTCACCTTCTTCTCGTAGAAAGAGCTAAGAAGGCAAAGGGGCAATGCAGACCTTCCTACACTCTAAGACGGTGAAGGGCTACAGCATCCTGAACATTGCAAAGGGAAGCAAACCGGGAGGACATGGAAGCGAGGAAAGGAAGGATGACCATTGCGGCCCCTTGAGCGAGCGGGAGAGTAGTGACAGGCGGTGCCAGAGAATAGCACCCGCCGAGGGGTCCGGGGTCCGAGGAGCCGTCCCAAACCGTCCCCAGGAGCCGCTGCTCATGCCACGTTCCTTCAGAAGCTCCAGTCACCTTCTTCTCGTAGAAAGAGCTAAGAAGGCAAAGGGGCAATGCAGACCTTCCTAAACTCTAAGACGGTGAAGGGCTACAGCATCCTGAACATTGCAAAGGAAGCAAACCAGGAGGACATGGAAGCGAGGAAAGGAAGGATGACCATCGCGGCCCCTCGAGCGAGCGGGAGAGTAGTGACGGGCGGTGCCAGAGAACAGCACCCAATGTGCGAGCTGAGGAGGGGGTGCGATTCCCTGGCTTTCCCCCAAAAGAGAAGGCACCTACTTCGGGGGGATGGAAGAGGCACCCATCACTTGGCCACCACCTCCTCCTCGGTTCTACCTCCCTCTTCCATCTGCTTCCTCAGGAGACAAGCTGAGAAAAAAGAAACTAACCACCCCTGAATAATGACCCCTGTCCTGGTGCCGGCCAATCCATCAGTGGAGGCCACATCCCTGAATGGACACACCTGGAAAGCTACAGAATATTCCATTCAGCTCTTCCCCTGGGACCTCCCCTGAAATCTCCACCCTTAAAACCTTTAGGAAGGAGGACCCAGTGCGCTCTCCCTCCCTGGAGCACACCTGTACCTTCCCCTTCCCCTCCTTCTCCTCCTCCCCCAGGCAGCTTACCATTAGCTTGTGCTCCCAAGCTCCAAGGGCAATTCTTTTACCTCCATAACTCATTTCCTAAACCCATTTCCTCTAAGACTTACTTGTCCTACCTCTGTAATTTACCCAGTAAATGTTCTCTTACTCTTTGGGTCTTGCTCTGAATTGTTTTCTAGCCAGAAGCCAAATACCCATGTTGCTAAACCCACATTTGGTCTGAGCCAAGTGAGACATGTGGTGCCATTCCTGTTGCCACCACAGTTACAGTTTAATCCAGCAATAATGAGATTTATCTGAAACTGGGTTCCATCAATGTAAGAATCATTCCAACCTCATGAGAATTTTTATGAGTTTACTGTCAGGAAGCAAAATGTCAATGGATTGAGATATTGTTCTGGGGGAATGGCAGTTTTGTACCTTGTCTACTTATATAAAAACCCTGGGTGTAACATCACAGCCAGAAGCGTGACCAACCTGAAGGAAGTCAGTCCTGCAGGGGTCATCTTGGAAACGGCTTCGCCCTCCCCCAGCTGTTTCCTGGAGGGCGAGGTTTCAGGCAGGAACCTGCCCTCGGAGCAAAGCGTGGAAGTGAAATGATCTGTAATGGATCTATTATTTAAGCTACCTTTGGAAATACTATATCTATAGATCAGTGGTTCTCAACCTTGGCTGCACGTTAGAATCACCTGGGAATCTTTTTAAAATCCTGATTTCTGGGCCTCATCCTCCGGAAATTCTGTTTCTTTGTGATGGGGTGAGGCCACAACATTAGTAACAAAGAAACAGAATTTCCGGAGGATGAGGCCCAGAAATCAGGAGTTTAAAAAGATTCCCAGGTGATTCTAACGTGCAGCCAAGGTTGAGAACCACTGTAATAAGTGAAGGGAGGCTAAGTGATTCGCTGTTACACCTGAGCCTGGCTCTCCCCTGGGGAGGGAACTGGGCCGGACCAGGGAGGGGAGAGGAGAGGGAGAGAGAGAGGGAGAGTGGCGGGTGCTGGAGGGGGAGGGAAAGGCTGACGGTGGCCTGTTCTGTGCTGTGGGGGGTGGGACAGGGGGCCCGATGAATCCAGGTCCCCGGCGAGGAATGAGGGCTCCTCAGATGGGTGCCCCTGGGTTTGGGGCAGGGCCATCCGCAGGTGGGTGAGGCCGCCGGGGCACAGAGGGCTGCGAGTGAGGGCCTGCCCGGCTGCAGTGCGAGCGGAAGTTCATGGGGGGCGTGTCTC